CTTTTCAATAAATGGTGCTTAAACAACAGAACATCCATATGTAAAAAAAATAATCTAGACACAGACTCTACACCCTTCACAAAAATTAACTCAAAATGATCATAGCCCTAACTGTAAAACTCCTAGAAGATAACATATGAGAAAACAGAACAACCTTGCGTATTGTGATGACTTTGTGTATACAACACCAAAGCCATGATCCATGAAAGAAAGAATTGGTAGGCTGGACTTGATTAAAATTAAAAATTTCTGCTTTCTGACAGACATAGTCAAGAGAACTAGAAGACAAACCACAGACTTGGAGAAAATATTTGCAAAAAACATACCTAATAAAATATTTTTATCCAAAATAGACAAAGAACTCCCAAAATTCAACAATAAGAAAATGTGTGAACAACCTCGTCAAAAAAATGGGAGAAATACCTGAACATACACCTTATCAAAAAATATATACAGATGGTGAAGAAGTAGAGGAAAAGATGCTCAACATCATGATGTCGTTAGGGAAATACAAATTAAAACAAATATGAGATGTCACTACACACTTATTACAAAGGCCAAAATCTGGAACACTGACAACACCAAATGCTGGTGAGGATGTGGAGAAACAGGAACCCTCATTCACTGCTGGTAGGAATAAAAAATGATACAGCCACTTCGGAAGACAGTTTGCTGATTTCATACAAAACTAAATACATTCTTACCACACAATCCAGCAATTGCACTCCTTGGCATTTATACAAATTAACTGAAAATTTATGCCCACATAAAAACTTAAATGCAGATATTTACAGTAGCTTTATTCATAATTGCCAAAACTTGGAAGTTCCAAGATGTCCTTCAGTGGGTGAATTAACAAACTGAGGTATATCCAGATAGTGAATATTATTCAGCACTAAAAATAAATGAGCTATGAAGCTGTGAAAAGACATGGAAGAACTTGAAATACACATTGCTAAGTGAAAGAAGCCAATCTGAAAAGGCTTCCATACTGTATGATTCCAACTATCTGGCATTCTGGAAATACAAAACTATGGAGATAGTAAAAAATCAGTGATTGCCAGAGCTTAGGGTATAGGGAGAGGTAAATAAGGAAAGCACAGAGGAATTTTAGGACCGTGAAACTATTCTTTATGATATAACAATGGTGGATACATGTCACTATCTAGTCATCTAGACCCATAGAATGAACACCACCAAGAAGCACCCATATGGAAACTATGGACTTGGGTCATAATGATGTGTCAACGTAGATTCATCAATTGTAGCAAATCAATATACCACCATGGTGACACGAGAGGTTCACAGTGTGGGAGGTTGTGCAAGAAGGACGTATATGGGAATTCTCTGTACTTTCCACTCAGTTTTTCTGTCGACCTGAAAGTCTCTAAAAATAAAATCTATTTAAAAAAAAAACACAAGATGTAGTACCCCTGGAGACCACTAGTGTTGAACAATAGGTAAAGAATTCAACAAATCATCTCCCTAAAGAGCAATTATAAAGCTGGACGAAATTGTCAAAAACAACAATTTCAGCCCTGCAATAAATGACCCAAAAATGTGATAAATTGAGAAGTGATTATTTGTGAAAAATGTTGAACTGCATGTAAGAACAATTCAATCTGTGGCATTGTAGTAAGGGTCTACTAACATCCCCTCAATCCCAAATTCTATCACTATGATAGTTGGACCAGCCTGGGGCAGGCAATGAAAACCAGCTGCTGTGCTGTCATCATCAGAGGGACTCATGAAATTTGGAGCATTTTTAGTCAAAGTAGTGATATTGAATGGCAAACAAACTGAATGGACCATCAGCTCTGCTAGTCTCAGCAGAGACCAGAGCGTGCCCAAAGCACCTACAGATCCCTGACTTGTGATAGAGCCCATCATTAGTCCATGCACAGAAGAGACATGGAAAATGGAGATGGCTGGCAGAAACTAAACACCAGGCAAGTATTGAAAATGATCTGAACTTTGAAGGCATGCCCCAGCCCACACACAGATCCATCAGCAAACAATGGATACCTCACCAGCTCAAGGTGTTTGGGTACAACCTCAGACAGCTGATGGCTGAATACCAGACACACAGAAAAAGGAGTAACTCCTGAGAAGCTACGCATAAAAAGAAAAAAACGATTGAGCAGAGACATCTATGACCACACATTGCTGACAGAATTCACAGATTTAGTCCACGAAATTACTAGACAGACAAAACAACAACAACTCTCCTGAGGGAAAAAATAAGAATTCAGAGATCCAGAGTTGTACAATGTATTATCTAAAATGTCCAGTGTTCAGTAAGAAGTTACAAGATATGAAAAGAAACAAGAAACTGCAATGCATACTTGGGTAGAAAAAAGTCAGTAGAAACTGTCTTTAAGTATCCCCAGACATTGCATTTAGCAAGCAAAGATTTGAAAGCAGCTATTTTAAGTATGATGAAAGAACTACAGGTGGCCTCCTCCACCTTATCCCTCTAACCCACTCCAAACCACCAATGTCTCCCTGGAAGAAGATTGTACACATGTCTGTGCCCTAGCTTTAGTGGCTGCTGCCTGAGGGATGGGTCCCCAGATCACCTGGCTCTAATAGCCAAGAGGGTTTGCATTCACCAGTCCCATAGAACAAAAGCAAATAAAGAAGAAGTTCATAACCAGCTATCCTCCCAGAGCTCAGAGCAGAGGGAGCAAACAGAAACATCCATTCCTAGACTTTCCCTGAAAGGAATCTTAATACATTAAACACCACTGCCAGAGGGTCAAGCTTCTAATTTAGCATGTGTCTAGGGCTGACTGAGATCCTCCTGAGAGATCAGAAAAGCCTGTGGACAACTCCCCTGCCCTCCTCCTCCAGCCCACTCTAAGTTGCTAGGATCTCCCTAGAATAAGCTTGTCCACACATATGGTGCCCCAGTTTTTGTGTCTAGATAGGCCCCTGGGTCACCTGGCTCTGAGAGCCAATGGGGTTTGTATTCATGAGTCCCACAGAATTGTGGGAAACATAGATGCAGTTCTTAATAGTAGCAGGAGCAACCCCCCTCTCAATCATACAGCCACAGAAGGCACAGGCAAAAGTGCCCATCTCCCAGTTTATCCCTGGAAGGGGCCTAACTACCTACTTTCCCACCTGCTGACTGAGGGTCCAGCTTCCAATCGACCTGCACCTAGGTGCTGACTGCGATCCTCCCTTTTGGGACCCTGATGGGTCTTTGCACAACCCCAGGTACTGAGAGGCACCAAGAACAAAGAAGGTGGCTTGGAGTATCACAGGTTCGAGAGACAACCAAGAGCTCAGGCCACGTTGATTGACAAGGTCCACCTCCTACGTGAGATCACTCTGTCAAGACTTGGAGAAGCGACCGGTTTATCTTAATGTGCAAAAACTAACAAAGAGAGTCAAAGAAAATGAAGAAACAAACAAATGTGTTCCAAACAAAAGAATAAGTTAAAACTCCAGAAACAGAATTTAATGAAACAGAAATGAGTGATTTACCTGATCAAGAGTTTTAAATAACAGTTAAAAATATGTAAAGACTTCCAATAGGAAAGGATGGAGGAAAGGCTGTGGAATGACATATTCAAAGAGCTGAAAGAATAATATTATCAATGAAGGATTCCATGTCTAGCAAACCTATTCTTCAAAACTAAAGGCAAAATAAAGATATTCTCAGACAAACGAAGACTGAGAGAATCCACTGCTAGCAACCCTACTTACAAGAATTACTGAAGGTAACCCTGAACCTCTTAATCTCAAATTCATGTGTCCAGTGCCCAGTAAGCCAAACAGGGAGACATCCATGCTTGGAGATGGAGAAAGGTTTATTTGAATTGGCCAAAACGAGAAACTGGGAGCATAGGTTCTCTCAAATCTGCCTCAACAAGAGCAGAAAAAAAGGCAGTTTTACAGAGCTAAGGGGCTTGACAGGAAGAGCTTTGGAGAAACAAAGGAGTCACTCCAGATAAACCCCTGCACAATCTCACTTGTAGGCGTCAATGGCAGCTGGGGGCTGGCCAGTCATGACCGCAACCTCCCTGAAAGCATTCTCATTCTTCTGAAAAACAAGCTCACAAATCTTCAGGACCCCTGAATCACCCCTTAAGTTAAACAGGAAATTGCTTATTGAATATCTACAGTAACTCTCAGGTACACGGCTTCAAAGGATGCCTTTTGAACTGAAAGGAATGCTTGATTCTTACATTTGAAAATGCTGGATAGATTTTTTAAAGATTTGTTAAAGGATGTGTGTGTGTGACTCCCTGGTTGTGTGTGTCTGGACAGAATATTCTCAAAGTTTTTGTCAATTTAACCTTATTGGTTTCAGAAGCAAAAATGCTAGAAACTTAGGAAAATAAATTATTTGAAGATTTAACTATTTCAGTTTGTTTTATACTTATTTAGCTTTGTAAATTTTGAATAATTATTAATTTAATTTTTTTACTCCCTCTAGCTGTTTCCCAAAATCACACAGCTATTAAATGTAAAAGAATTTTAAGTTCTATGTCTGAGTTGATGCAAGGCAAAATCATATTACATGGGAAAGTCGGAGTCACAGACAGAAGGCATTGTGGGAGTAAAAATGCCTGGGAATTAACCAAAATTCCAGGGACAACTCCAGGTTTTTAAAAGCTATGAAATTGATGGAGTTCAAGTAGAGGTCTCAAAGGAACCTGGTATTGCCTGAAGTCCAGGTGGAATTAATAGAAAACTGACTACAGTTTATCTCTAACAAGGTGAGAGGGTGCTACTGGATGCCTCAGAGAAGGATGAAGGGACCTGTGGGACTGGATGGTTGGGGAGGGGCTGTGATCCAGCCTCCTCCTCTTATTGCCCCACCCCGCCCCACCCTCAGGAGACCTGTGTGACCAGACCACAGCCCTATGATGTGGGCCTAGGGCTCTAGTCCCCAAGTACACTCCCAAATGCTCAGTTGCCTAACAGCAGCAGTGCGATTCAGATGATGAAGAATCCTCTCTTTTCTCTGAAGAGCGTTATTGATATACCTGGCTGAGCTCCAGCTCCGCTTGCTGGGCGATTGATACCATCCTTGCCATCCCGTGTGCACTGGGGTTCTTCCTAGTGTAACTTCCCTATCTCCAGAATAATCCATTCTTACCACCACCTAGGAAACATGGAAGCACCAGGAAGGTAAGGAACATTTGTCCCAGACCAAACAGAATATGATCGTCTCTTCCTTTCTATTATTATTTCCATTTTCATGAATTAACTGGAGAGAATCCTGGGATGGGAAAGAAGAGAATATCTATTCTCAGGAAAGAAGAGAACATCATCCTTCTAGAGACAAGCCAGGATGGGCAGGGGTTAGAGTGGGCACTAGGATTTCCATCCAAAGGTCTCAAACCAGGAGTCTAGGTGTGCTACAGGGCTCCAGGGCAAAGTCCCAAACTCAGTGACCAGTGGCCAAGGAATGGATACTAAGAGTCCAATCTCTGTGGGAGGTCAGACTCCTGAGCACTGGTTCACCAGCCACCTTCCCCGGGCAGGTGTCTCTGACTGATCTGAGGGCAGTGCTGAGCCCCTGAGAGACTCTGAGCAGGGGCTGGAGTGGGGCCCCAGCCTCCGGAAGCAGAGTCCTACCTGATGAAGCTCAGATATGCATCTGTAGGTCTGAGAATGTGTGTGTTTCTTGAGCAGATGAACAGTGATGGAAGAAATCCACGGTGGGTCTCACATAGAAATACCTTCTTTGCATTCTTCAAAGAAGGAAAACAGAAAATATTTCTATCCACTGTAAAAAGGAGTAAAAGGAAAGAAAAATCACAGTGCTCCATCAATTAAGTGTAGAAAGTCATATTGTTCATAAACACTGAGCGTCTGCAGCTTCTCCACAGAGAGGAGAGTGAGAACTGGGTCCCAGCCCCTCGTCTTTTTTCTCCTCTCTCAGAGTCAAGTGGAGCTGAGGGGGAGGAGCAGCAGGACTAGGAAGAAAAGGGGGGCTTCGAGAAGTAAGCATCTGCCATTCAGCCCTATGCCCTGGGAGCCAGCCTCCAACTCTCCTGTCCCTGAGGGCCCGGCTCCACAGTCTCTGAGAATGACAATGGTAGAAAGAGTTTCCTGTTTCCCTCAGGAAACAAAGCCCTCGAAAAGTCTCCTGGGAAGGAGATCAGAACTCAGATTCTTCCTAGATTCTGTGCTCAGAAGGAAGTAGTGAAGGGCCTGGAAATGGGCATTGCCCAGCACAGGCATGTGGGCAGCAGTGGACCAATAGTGCCTGGATTGGGAGGTGGGACCTCCAGGTCCATTTGTGGACAAGTTGTTTAACTGGGGTCAGATTCCTCTGTGAGGTGACCCCTGCCCTCTCTCTCCCACAGGACCTTTATGAGGGTGTAAGGGTAATGGATGTGGAAGTACTTTGTAAATGACAAAGTGCTCCCCAGCATAAGCCTTGCTATCCACCATCAGGGATCACATGGCCTTGGACACTGATCTTGGGCTCCAGAGTCTAATCTCCCAACATCTCCCCTAAAGGGACTTTGCACTCAGGCTCCTCTGAGACCCCAGGGCCCTGCCTTCACCACCGTGACCCAGTCTCCTGATTTCTAGCTTGCAGAGATTGCTGGAAAGAACTAGAGGAGGCTAAGGGCCTGGTTTTACTTCTGCAAAGGTAAAGAATCTTCCCCTTCTCTCCTGGGTCCGTCTTCCTCCCAGAGCCTATGGTGTGACCCCGGGGCTGCAGGCAGCCTGGGGTGACCTGGGGTGGCCATGGGGATAGGGTGTGGCCAAGATTCTGGGGTGAGGGAAAGCAGGAGCATAGTGAAGTCAGTGTGGGGGCCGTGGAGGGCCATGGGCCACAAGTGCCCACCCCTGCCCAACCTGTCTGGCCCTCCTGGGCCCTCTGCTCCTGGTGGCAGCTTATGCCTTCTGTCTCCTGCAGCCACCTGGGCAGGCTCCCTGACAAGGGTGGCTTTCATCAAGTCTCATGTTAATACCCCCCTGGCGAGGTTTGCAAAGCAGTGCCCGCTGGAGCCACCTGCCATACGGGGTGTTTATGGAAGATGCAGCTCCCGCCATGTCTGTGTCCATTTCCCTGGCTCCTCTGACCAAGTGCCCTGTACCTCTGACCTGCACCCTGGCCAGCAGAACCTCAAGAAGACCAATCTAGGGCAGCCTGGTGGAGTAGTGGTTAAGTTCACGCTCCGCTTCAGCAGCCAGGGGTTTGCTGGTTCAGATCCCAGGCATGAACCTGTGCGTTGATTATCAAGCTATACTGTGGCACATATCTCACATATAAAATAGAGGAAGAGGAGCACAGATATTAGCTCAGGATCAATCTTCCTCAGCAAAAAGAGGAGGATTGGCAGCCAATGTTAACTCAGGGCTAATCTTCCTCCAAAAAAAACCGCTAAAACAAAAAGAATACAACCAGAAGGACCTACAACTAAAATATACAGCTATGTACTGAGGAGCATTATGGAGAAGAAGAAGAAAAGAAAAGAAGATGGGCAACAGAAGTTAGCTCAGGTGCCAATCTTTAAAAAAAAAAAATCACTCAATATTGTGGCATCAACTATTAAAAAAAAGAAGACTAATCTGACTTGCAGAGAATTCCACTGGCACCATTGCCAAGAGCTGACCTCCAGATAACCCCTGTTTGGCATCTCCCACGTCAGGCCTAGTGCGTACTCATTGTCCCATTCTGTTCCTCTCCCAGTGGTGGAGGATTATCAAGGCCTTGTTCTTCCCCACTTCATCACAGTACAAGTGCCAGCAAGAGCACCTGTCCCGCCACCTGACAGAGGCCTCATTCTGGAGACCCCCACAAACAGGCAGGTAGAGGCTGGTAGCCCCTCATTTGTCAAACTTGATGTCCAGAAGATGCAAATCATCAAAAGAGTGAAACAGAAGATCTGGAAGGAAAAAGAAAAAGATGGGTCATTTTCTAAACAAATGATCTGGAATTACCACCCAATCCCTTCAGGGAATATGTGGAAATCACTGGGTGCTGAGCAGGACACCACAACCTCCCAATCCCTCTAGGCCATGAAAGGTGCCTGGTCCTCAGCAACTCTCCTATCCCAAGGTCTTTGGGGACCATTTACAGCAGAAATGCAGCCAGCTCTGCTGAGATCCCGCCTCTTTGCACAGCGGGTCCCTGGTGGCACTGCCTCAGTCTCTAGGAGCTCTCCTCACTGCAGGCTCATTCCGTTTTATTCAATGGCATTTCCAATTGCTTTCAAGTTCAAATCTGGCTTACAATACCTTCAAGGCTTTCCCAGGCCCCACTCTTTCCCACTCTGGGGCCCAAACTCAACCTTTGACTCCAAACTGGCCCCAGTTCCAGCGCCCGCCTCTGGCTCAGATCCAGACCCAAGCACATCTCACATCCTCTCTCCTAATCCAACTGCCTTCTTCTCTACCCGCTAATGAGAACCTGTGGAGTATCTTGGCTTGCATACCAGAATAAGGTACAATCTTTCATCCCAACTAAAAGACAATGTCTGGAATTGTTCTTATTCAGAAGCAACTGAAAAATGAGAGGGCTTTACCCTCCATGGTGAGAAGACTTTAGCCAACTCATTCCCAACCTTCCCCAAGACAGTGAGGCCTCCCACACCTACACTTTCCACACTTCATGGGGACGTGATGAATCCTAATCTCCACAAGCAACATCTTTGAAAGAGGCTTATCAAAGATGAACACCAGGGTGTCCTGTCACACAGGATCCAAGTGTCTCTGGAACTGATGATGCAGCCTCAGGATGAATTCCCAGGGGCTTATTAGGCACAGGGCAAGCAGGATCCCTCACAGCCCTCTGCATTTGCAGGTGAAAGCAGCCATGACACATAGAAAATGGGGTTCAGGTGCCATGGAAAGTTCCATGGAAAGGGTCAAGTACAGTTCCAACTAGCGAAGGACTTCAGCAGGGAACTAGGGCAATGTCTGAGGATGATCCCAGAAGACCTCTCCAGGGTCTCAGCCACGTTCCCAGTGAAGGTTCTGGGAATGAACTCCGAGGAGTCAGAAAAACACTTGATGAGGCCCTTGAAGGGTGACTCAGGAAATTGTTTACCCAGGGGCCCAGATAAGAAACATCTAGAAAAAGTCTTGAAAGCCCATTTGGGCAGGAAGTTGGTGCAGAACAATGAGGGTTCGATCCCTGTGAGAGAGCATCAATCCTGGCTTGCTGTCAACTATGTTTTTCCCAAGTCCAACACTCACATGGAAACCAGAAATCCAGCATCTTTGGAGGGTCGGGAACCCTGCAGGAACACCTCCCATGAGCATTCCCTCTCCGTCCACCCACTCTGCAGGGGCTGGAAGCACACATTGTAAAGTTTCAAGTGAAGCATCGGTGGGGCCTATCCCTCAGGATTCTCAAGACCATAAAACTCTTCAAGTTGAAAAATATTCAACCCTCACCCCTCCCATGGTCTGCCTTTTCCCCCTCAGCGACCCGTATATCTGGGGCCCACTCAAAAGCCAACTTCTCCAAGTTCTTGGGGAAACCTCTTCAGCCCTGTCCAGGAAAGAAAGTGGCAAAAAAAAAAAAAAGTCAGTTCCCATCCTGGCGAGTCCCCTCCCTGCTCCCTCACCTGCATGTGAAGAAATCTAGAAGGCCCTGCGAGGGACCCCAAATGATGATGGGCCCTCAGAGGCTCTCTTACTGGAAAGGAGAGCAAGCTGCTTTCTCAGTCTCTCACATACAGCCTTGTGGACAGAAGCTGGTAGAGTGAGGTTGTCATGGGGGTCGAGAGAGGAGACAAGTCCAAGTTCAGCAATGGTCAGGAATGAGCCAAGGGAGGAGAGTAGAGGTCAGGCCTCACAAGACCCTTGCCGTCATATAACAATATTGGAACTCAACCTAGGGTTCTGATCTTGGAGATCCAAAATGGCAAGGGAGGCGGTAGAGGCCAAGGAAGCTCCTGCTTGGGAAGTCCTCTTGGAACCCAGTGTGCTGGCCAACTCCAAACCATTAATGTGGATCTGAGGAGATGAGGTTCTCCAGGGTGCAGTAAAAGCCCCTCATCACTTACAGAGCTGGTTGCCCAGGATCTGATGGAGCTATGTCTTCAAACAAAGGTTGCTAGAAAGTTTGAGCTCCAAGGGAAGGTAGAGTCAGAGGACAAACCTCAAGGCTGTGCCACTGGCATGCTCCTTCAAGACTCTCATACTGACATCCTCCTTCAAGACTATGCTCCTCAAAGAATGTACCACCAAAATGCTCCTTGCTGCAGAATTCTTGGTTTCTCACAAGTCACAGTCCAGTTCCCAGAGGAAACACACTGATGGGGACACATCAGCTTCCCAGGTGCCATATGAGCTCATATCGAGTGGAGAGAGCAGCCAGGGGCAGCAGGAGCCCAGGATACTAAAAGTTGAAGACTCATGTAAGAGCCAGAGCAAGATATTTGCCCCAACTGGTGAGAGAGATGACTATAGGAGGACCAAATCAGGAGAGTATTAAGAAAGGTTTGCAGGACCGAGGGCTTCCCAAACCAGTGAGGTGAACCATCCTTCCCAAGTCAGAGGAATAAGAGACACCATTGGGAACAAATGCCTCCAGCTCCTGCTAGAGAAGGGACAGAATTTTCCAGAAGGCCACTTCAGAAAAGAGATGAAACACTTTCTTCAGCATCTTGACCTAATATAAAAGACAAAGGACTTGAAAGATCTCCTTCAAAAAGGCAATCCTGCCGCGGCTACTGCCTAAATCCCTGGACCAGTTAAAAGATTGGCTGCGGATGGTGGGGCTATTGAAGCTCAGAGGATTGCGATATCTGTTGGACAGATCCTGGTAGAGAAATTGGGGCTTCACCAAGGACTTTGTGCCTCTGAATAAAGTCAGCACAAAGAACAATTCCAGGCCCCAGGAGGCGGGCATTCCTGCTACTGGGGGTTCTCTCCTCCCCAGAGAAGAGTGATGACACATACACTCTACAGTCACCAAGACACAGCCAGGGGCCACAGCAGTCCCAACAAGAGCAGGTGGACCAGAGGCAGGGATGGCAAGTGGGATGTAGGTGGATTTTGACATGATGTGGGGTGGGACTTCCAAAAGTAAGAGTGCCCAGGCCTGGGGCAGTCTAGGGATGGACCTGTTAGTTCTAGATATATTTGTCTGCAGCACCAAAATAAGTAATTAGCACACAGGTACTCAGTAAGGCACACAAGTGTCTTTCCCCAGTTACCTTTCAACTTTCTCGTGCCCCCACACCCCTTCTGCTCAGAGAGATGTGGCCTGTGTGGCTGGTGGACTTCTACAAAGGGTCTAGGTGAGGGCTCAGATGGGTGAGACTTCCCTAAGAGAAAATCCAAAGCATGCAGTTTAGCCTGAAGCCTGAGGTAGTCTGTAGGCTGTAGAGGCCCCAACCAGGGGGCTCCGGGGCTTCTTTTCCTCCATCTTTATGAAAACGACAAAAGAAGTGGTGGAGAGGGGCTGAACCCACACTTTACAACCGACGAGAAGTCTGTGCATTTCCCCTGTGGTCACACGGACCGTGATTCCTGTACAGACGACAAGGGCATACATAGAACTCTGGCACCATCTCCCATCTTCTTCTTACCAAGTAGGAATTAATACCCAGAGTCTTATTAGCAAATCATCCTACTTCTCTTTACGACCAGTCTTTACCAGTGGCTTTTGATAGAGGTTGGGCTCAATAGAAGGCTCCTCACTCCTCCCTGCCTCCCACTCATCCACTTGGAAGGGGACATTCCCATCCTCAGGCCCGCTGAGCTCACATGGCCATGTTCCATACTGACTCTCACCTCCCTCACCCCAGCCAACGTTACCTGAAAGGCTCCCTGTTCCTTGCCACCAAAGATCTCTAATGAAACAGAAGCTCCTAGCAAAATGCTAGTTGCCTGCCTGGCCTGTATCTCCACAGCTGCTTTTCTCTAGGGCTTGACCTTGTCACTCTCTCACCAACCCCAGTGCTCTCTTCTGTCCTCATGTTCTCTGCTTCGATCTGTAATCCTTGTTCCATACTGTACTATAGCAAAGGAGAGGGCAGTATCGAAAATCTCTGGCAGATAGTCACTTCCTAGTTGGTCCAAACTGCTCTGACCTCCCTCCTTTGACTCTTTGCCCCTTCTGGGCTCCCATACAACTTAGGGGCACTTGGCAAACAACTACAGACTGTAGCTGTCACCAGGACCTTTCTGGAGATTGGAGGCCCCACCTTTGTCATTTCTGCTCTCTTTCTAGTGCCTGGTGCTGGCCCGTGGTGCATGTCTCTTGTTTCCTGTTTTTAAGGGCAAAGGCCAGACCTGGACAGCTCTACACAGTGTAGAGGGACTGCAGTGAGAGCCAGCTACTCTGGAGCATGTGGACCACCAGGGTGTTGGTTGGGGCCAGGGCAAACCTTCCACTTCTTGTTTTGACACTTAGCTTTGCAAAGATGAGTGCATTTAACAGATAGCATTGTGGTCAAAGCACAGTCAGCCCTCAGTTATCTCCTCTCCTTCCAGGAGGGTCAGCAAGGACAGGATGGTAACTTTCTACCGTAAGGAGCATTTCTTTGTAGTGAGAGTTAGGATGTACGTGGAACTGCCTGCGACTTATCTAATTGGGTTTATGGGACATAGGCCCTAAACTCCTGTGAGGCCTGTACCAAACTTTAAATTGCTTCTGGGATTAAAACTGGCCCCAAACAACCAGAGCTCTAAATTGCTCCATGGCTCCTTTATGGAACCTCTGAAGAGAGAGCAAGGGGCAGAGAGCAGAGGGTGTCTACCCTGAGCATGCAGGCTGGGCATGGCTGCCAAGACCACTGGGACGCAGCTCCTTGAGTTGTCCTTCCTCTTGTTATCTCACTGGGCACGGAGAAGGCCAGGAAGGGAAGCAGTTAGAGCCCCTTCAACCATGGCCAACCTTAAATTTTCTTTACCTTGCTGTGAAATTTGAAGATAGAAGAAATTTGAAGAAATTCCAAGATAGCTAAACAGAATTTGCTGCATGCTTCTAGGCACCGCCTCCACAGATAGGGGATGGTCAAGGTGGGCAGTTGAAGCAATCACCTCCCAGACCTGGGGGTCTTCCAGAATCCTCCCTTCCATGAGACAATCTGTCCGGGTGAGCTGATTTCCCTACCATGGCCTCTTTCCCACACTCGACATAGACTGACTTCTCTCTGTGGCCAAGCCTTCTTCAGGTAGGTGGGTAGAAGAGAAAAAGGGGTTGCAAGTGGGGACCTGGCCACAGCTTCCATGTCTGAAGGGATTTTATAAGGGGAGGGAGCAGGCTGTCCTGAGAGTTTAGACCAGTGTGGGGATGGGACAGAGGGTGAAGAATGGGGACAACATTGGAAGAAAGTTTCTGGTTAATGTAAGGGAAAACTTCCCAAAAATCAAGGCTATCTGACAAAGGAATTGGAGTTGTGCACTCACATAACTCAAGGTATTCAAAGCAGAAGTGGGAAAATTGTGTTTCATAGAAGGTAGTCACACAAAGGAGGGGAAAGAGGCAAGACCAGTTACTTTACAACATTCCTGCTAAGTCTGAGATTCTCCAGACAATAGTATTAATATCTCTAAAAATAGACCTCTTTCCCCCAAATATTCCCAATGCCCACAGTTAATCTCCTCTGATAATTGCATGGGGATAGCTTCTGACTCGGCCTGTTTTCTCCAACCACTGTTTCAACCAGCAACAGTATAAGAGTCACAGATGCAATGCATGAAGCCCAGGGAAACTCCCACCCACCCATGCCCTGCTACGAGGCGGATCTCTTGGAGAAAGGTGTGACACCTCGATTTTTCATGTGTCCTAAGGAAAGCAAGGATGACCAAGACTTCATAATCCATCCTTTGCTCCTCAGTAGACCTGCTATGACACAAATGGAGGAGCAGGAATACAGAGTGGTAAGGGAAGGAGCCCTAGGGAGAATGTGAGGAACCAGCCTCCAGTCCTGGCCCTGTCCTTGCCACCTGTGAAATTCTCCGAGCTTCAGTTTCCTCATCTTTAACATGAGAACTCAAGGCTTGAGGTTTTCCCTAATGTACTGGACCTAAAGTTCTGCGGTGACTAAGGTACATCCTGTGTGCAGTGCCTCCTTTAAGCGAGCCCTCTGCAAGCCTGGGTGGAATTGTCAGCTCTTCTGTGAGGGAAAAAGCATCACCGTGGCATTGAAGTGGCTTTAATGGTCAGCTCAGATATGAAAGGATCTAAGATAGGAGTTGTGACTTACAAAACAGCTCCAAAACCACAGAGGCTGGTCACAAAGTCACAGATGCTCACATTGAAGGGCATGAGGGACACTTGTCCTTGGATTCTATCCCTCCTCCCCATCCCCGAGGACTGGAGTAGACTGAGGGAACTGCAGTGCTGTGGACAAAGGCCATGGGTAGAGAGAAGGGCTGTGGAAGGGCTTCTGTCAGGATCTCCACAGTCTTTTGGCCAGAAATTCCTTACTGATGGTGCAATGAAGGGGGATCACCAACCAAACTCACAAGAAACAAAGTGGGAATCAGTCATCCAGTAACAAATGTAAATGCTGAGCTGATTCTCATCTTCCTGGCCTCTGCTCATCGCATTCCCACCATAAAGGACTCGATGCAGACAAATTATCAGAAAATTATTATACAAGCCCAGAATTGGAGCCGGGGGAGTGAGTGAGGTGATGCCAGTGGCCAGCGTCACTGAGTAGGGCACCCTGAAGCCCCCAAGGACACCACAGGAACAATTCAGGGACAGGCAGATCTGGCCAGGGGATCCCACTTCCCTGGTTAGTGCTGGACCCATGCAGCACAACTCAGGCTTCCTTTTCATGGTCCCCATGTACTCCCATCTTTACACACTGCTCTGGGTTACTTCAACTTACACATCCCTTCTTTTAAGTGTGTTAGCTATTGCTCTGGCTAAAACTATTTCATATATCATGGTTTGATTAGATTTCCAGGGTCTGCTTTTCCTGATTTTTATTTAATATATCCTGACTTTTAATATAACTCCAGTAGACAGTGAACTTTATCCCTTAGACACTGATATTATAAGTTGGCACATCAAAGGATAAATTTAATGACAAGTTATGGAAGTATGTCATTGTAGTTCCCAGGTATTGATCCCTATAATCATGTGTTTGCTGTCCTCAGTTTTCCTGAGGGTAGAGGAGAGAATTTAAAATGGAAGTCGCCAACCAGTCCATTGTGGCAGAATTTGTCCTGTTGGGTCTGTCAGATCAGCCAAAGCTGGAGAAAACGTTCTTCGTGCTCCTCCTGTCAATGTACCTGGTGATCCTGCTGGGCAATGGGATCCTCATTCTGGTGACCATCCTTGACTCTCAGCTGCATACGCCCATGTACTTCTTCCTGGGGAATCTCTCCTTCCTGGACATCTGCTACACAACATCTTCCATCCCTCTAGTCCTGGATGGCTTCCTCACTCCCAGGAAAACCATCTCCTTCTCAGGCTGTGCTGTACAGATGTTTCTCTCCTTTGCCATGGGAGCCACAGAGTGTGTGCTTCTGGGTATGATGGCATTTGATCGCTACGTGGCCATCTGCAACCCCCTTAGATACCCCGTGGTCATGAGCAAGGCTGCCTATGTGCCCATGGCTGCCAGCTCCTGGGTGGCTGGGGGAGCCAACTCCCTGGTGCAGATCTCTCTTGCAGTACAATTACCCTTCTGTGGGGACAATGTCATTAACCACTTCACCTGTGAGATCCTGGCTGTCCTGAAGTTGGCCTGTGCTGACATCTCCATCAATGTGATTAGCATGGGGGTGGCCAATGTGATCTTCCTGGGGGTCCCAGTTCTGTTCATCTTTGTCTCCTACATCTTCATCCTCACCACCATCCTGAGGATTCCCTCAGCTGAGGGCCAGCAAAAGGCCTTCTCCACCTGCTCTGCCCACCTTACTGTGGTGGTCATCTTCTATGGAACTATCCTATTCATGTATGCAAAGCCCAAATCAAAGGACCCCCTGGGAGTGGACAAGCAGGATGTTTCAGACAAGCTCATTTCTCTCTTCTATGGAGCACTGACCCCCATGCTCAACCCCATCATCTACAGCCTCAGAAACAAGGACGTGAAGGTTGCTGTGAAGAAACTGGTGACTCAGAAATGCTTTGCCCAGTGATAGTGGGATGAAGCAGTGTATCTTGTGGTTCTGTGTACACAGGGGTACCCTAGGAAATGACCATGTGGTAAGCACAGACTTGCTTAATCTTCCACACGTTATTTTCATCACAAAACTGACTACCAAACAATGCATTTAAGAATGTGTCCTTCCTGAGTGATTGACAATGGAACAGCAAGTCTTTAGAATGAAGAGGGGGTTGTGCTAAACCACCTGGAAGCAAGAATAAGTGACTATTAAAATTTATTTTCATTTTTATTCTGAAAAAATAAACAATAAAAATTAAAACTTTGTTTAAAAATATACTTTCTTTGTTCTTGTGCAGACCAGCTGCAATTTGTATGAGCCAGTTACGTTGTTTTCTGCTCTACTGTGCATTGGGGAGTATAGTAGTGAGGAAAAGTTACTTCTTAGTTGGTGTCCAAGCTCAAAACCAATCTCTCATTTTGGAAAATTACTGACACCAAGACATCCCAAATGACACCATTTAACCCCTTTGACTGTAGGAGCTCAGAGTGTTTCCTGTTTAATTATTATTGCCTGCTTAATATCCTTGAGCCTATTTGGGAAACTCCTTCTTCTCTTACTGTACATAGAGCACGTCTATTCCTACCCAAATTTGTGGAGCAGGAGTTTGTGTCAACTCTAATCAAACTCCAATATAGTAGGCCAAGATAAAAATTGTAGCAGTCTCCATTTAACCACTACTAAAATGTAAAGTTTATACTCTGAGTTCCTTCCTTTTCCTGGAATCAATGTTTGCAATCATCCAGACCCCAATGGTCAAATTCAGTTTGCTCTCTCTCTCTCTGAGATTTGGATTGGACACTGGCACCACTGCTAAAAATCTACTTGTAATTACTGTGTGGTTAAGAGCATAGACTTTGGAACCAGACTGACTTGGAGGTGCCTCTGCCCAATTAACTTCAGGCACATTAGAAAAATTACTTAATCTTGAAGACTCTTGGTATCTTAATTTGTAAAATGGAGATATTTAAACCAATCCCATGGAGTGGCAGTGGGGATGAAATTAAAGTAAGGTATGCATATGTATAAAAAATGCACAGGAGCTAGCAAAGAATAACCTCCCAATTAACAAATGAATATTTTTATTATTAGTGAAACATGTTACATAACTCCCCTGAGGAAGCCTATGATGCTTGAAGGCAGAGCTCAATACCACACTTAACTGAATCAATTCCGATTTTTTAGTGCAGTTCCTTTTTGGTTAGCTTTCTAGCTTATGAGGCAACAATCCAATTTCTCTCGGCCTTTTCCCCAGTCATTCCTCTCCTTTATCCACAGAGATGAAGGACTCATATTTGTGCTGTGTGACACTGACCCTACCCAGGCCAAACAGATTCTTTCTGCCAGGTTTTGGGGATTGTCACTAATATCCAGGGAGTGAGTCACTGGATTCATAACTTGGAATCAAACTTGGGAGCTATGGGGTAATCATGTTTGACCCTGTGAACTGGGGAGATAAGGAGAAACCAAGTCTGTAGAGAGGAACATAAAAACATCCAAAGATCAAAGATGAGAGATGATGAGGACATCTTCATATGTTCCAGTTCTTGGTTTCCATTTTTGCCTAGACCTGCCCATATTCCTGCCCTTTTGCTTCTAAAGGACATCTCTATATCCTTATACTAGATTCTATTTTTCACAAATCTACATTGTTACTTTCTTTGAGGGGGCAACAAAAATCACATCTAATATGACTACTAACTTATACAAAATAGATATTCTCTTTCATGTGCCATGTGCAAACAGAGTGCCTGGCTATCATGCATGGCAGATGTCTTACAGAAATCAGTTTCGAAACAATTTCTCTGAACTCAACGTGTAGCTCTTCCTGTATTTAATTACTCCCTTCCTGCTACAGCGGCTTTGCCTTTGGTGGATTCTATCACCTGCAAATTTGGAACATGTCCAGTAGTTGATGTGATACAGGAGGTCTAGTTTCAGATCCCTGCCTTCCCACATACAGTTGCTTCCACAAGTATGTCCACTGCTCTTGAAGAATCTCAGGTATATTCATCCACACAACAAAGTGGGAGTACTAACTATCTCAGGTGACCTCCACCTGTGAATTGCCCTGGATCCATGGTTCCTTTCTCCAGTGGGAGAGGTCCTTGAAGAGAACAGAGCAATGCTCTTACAGCAGGGTTTTAGTATTTGAAGCTGTGTCTGGTTTCTCTCACCTCCTTAGCTGTCAATGTGCCAGGAGCATCTTCAGAGCCTCCATCTTCTCCACTAGGCTCAACAACCAAATAGAATGACTCAGGTTGTTGATGTCATCCAATCTCTATCATTGGTACAATGAACAGAGTAGCCCTGATTGCAGGAGGCTATCTATGGGCTAAAGAGTAGGGGCTCTCACTCACAAAAGCTGATATAGCTACTTAAGCAGCTGATTGTTCAAACTGCCAGCAACAGAGACCAACCTTCATTGGAAGAGACTTATCAGTCACTTGTTGGTAAGTTGATTGCATTAGGAGATTTCCATTCTGCAAGGGACAGTGATTCGCCTTCACTAAAATCAACACCTCTTCTCAGTTTGAGTTGCCTGTCCTTTCTGCAGGGCATTATCCAACATCAGCATCTGAAAGCTGAGGGAGAGTTTGACTTAATGACATGGAACCCTGCATAGAATCTCATTGGACCAAGGGATTTATTTATCAAAGTAGGTGTAGCTGTGGGATCATGATTTGGGGATCCACTGGTCCTTCCATATACTGCACCATCCAGAAGTAGCTGGCCCAAAAGAGTGATGGCTGACCTTTTGAAAGCACAGCTAATGTCCCAGCCTAGAGATAATACTATGCAAGAATGGGGCACCATACTCCAGTATGCAGTATGTACCCTAAATCAATGAATGTTTTATGGGACTGTGTCTATTTGTCCCCAATAGACAAAATACGTGGTCCAGGACTCAAGGGAGATAGCAAGAGTAGCCCTGCTGACCATCCCTTCCAGTGACCTACTGGGCAATTTGTGCTTTCCATCACTGCAACTCTCGGCTTTGCTAGTCTAAGGGTCCTAGTTCCCAGAGGAGAGTTTCTTCTAGCAGGGGACACAGAAAGAGTCTCATTAAACATTTTTAGCATTTTACTGAGGTAAAACTTACATACCATAAAATTTACCTATTGCAAGGTACAAGTCAATGATTTTTGATAAATCTATACAGTCATGCAGTTGTCACTACAAACCAATTTTAGAACATCTACATCATTTCAAAAAGTTCTCTCATGTCCATTGGCAATCAGTCCCCAATTCCAGCCCCAGGTAACTACTAATCTACTTATTTCTAGAAAGATTTGTTTTTTGACAAATTTTATGTTAATAGAAGCATACAATATGTAGTCTTCTGTGTCTGGCATCTTTCACTTAGCATGTTTTTGAGGCTCATCCAGTTGTAACATACATCAGTAATTTGTTCCTTTTATTATGGAATAGTATTCCATTATAAGTATGTACCACTTTGGGTTTATCTGTTCACCCATTGATGGACATGTGGCTTGTTCCCAGTTTTGGGCTATTATGAATAATGCTGCTGTGAACATTTACATACACGACTTTGGGTGGAATTGGCAAATCATATAGTATGAATGTATTTAACGCTTAAGAAACTGCTAAACTATTTTACAAAATGGCTGTATCATTTTATATTCCCACAAGCAATATGACAGTTCCAGTTTCTTCACATCTTTTCTTTGTAGCTCTTCCAGTGGATGTGGAGTAGTATCTCACTCTAGTTTTAATTTGCATTATCCTGATAGCGACTAATGTTGAGCATCTTTTCATGTGCTTTTTAGCCATTCACATGCCTTTTTGGTTAAGATATTTTAGTTGGGTTGTTTGTCTTTTTGTTGTTGATTCATATGTAAAAATACTTTGTGTAACCTGGACACAAGTTCTTTATCATATAGTCATGTGGCGCATAAAAATGTTTCAGTCAATGATAAACTGCATGTGCAATGATGGTCCCATAAGATTAGTACCATATAGGCTAGATGTGTAGTAAGCTATACCATCTACGTTTATATAAGTACACTTTATAATGTTCACACAACAACAGAATTGCCTAATTACACATTTCTCAGAATGTATCCCTGTCATTTAGCAATGCATGACTGTATATATAATTTGCAAATATTTTCAGTCTTTTTTATTTGTCTTTTTTTTTTATGGTCTCATTTGAAAAATGAAAGTTTTTAATTTTGTAGTACAATTTATCAATTTTTCAAAATGAATTTCAGTATTTCATTTAAGAAATCTTTACGTAGAGAGAGGACATCAGCGAAATGGCGGTGTGAGCTGACCCGGGACTCTCTCCCCTCCAAACTACAACCAAAACCCGGAACAAGTGAATTTCAACCAATAACTGTAATAATACAGAGATCGTCAGAGACCCACAGCAGCAAAACGATGGAGGGCGGAGAGGCTGGAGCCCCCCTCAGAGGAGCTGGAACAGGGTAAGAGAGAACTTCCCTCCCTCCCCTAGAGACTGGGATCACTGCGTGGGTGAGGGAAGGAGCAGAGGAGGGGCCGTGCATCCAGGGGATCATCCAGGACTCCCACCGCCAGTGCAGCAGAAACCTGCTAACAGGGGAAAGCTTCCATGTGTGGGGACCCCATCAAGCCAGGGCCCCAGGAAACCAGAGAGCGAGAGCTGACTGGAATCCAGATCGACGGGCAAGAGAAAGTGCCACTCCTCCCCCAACCCACGCTGCCCACTGTCCCCGCAGCTAAAGGTGGAGGGCTCAGAACATGAGCCTCTCAACCCCCATCTAGTGGCGACAGGCTGTAACTGCAACCAAATAATACCATCATGTGCAAAAACCACTCATCTACCATTCAGCAATTTATAAAAGCTCCAGACCAGAAGGAAAACAATAAAAACACAGAATTAAGTCATGAGGACTTGGAAATAGGTAAACTAAGTGAAAATGAGTTCAGAGTAGCTATCATCAAAAAACTCAATGAGGTAAAGGGAAATATAGAGAAACAAGTCAACGAGTTCTGGAGTTACTTCACAAAAGAGATAGAAACTATAAAGAAGAATCAATCAGAAATATTAGAGATGAAAAATACAATGGATCAGATAAAACAGAATATGGATTCCCTGAATGCACGTGTAGACACCATGGAGGAGCAAATTAGCATAATTGAAGATAGACAGGCTGAATGGCTCCAGACAGAGGAAGAAAGAAAACTAAGAATTTAAAAAAATGAAAACAGTCTCCGAGAAACAGCAGATTCAATGAGGAAATCCAGTTTAAGAATTACCGGAATCCCAGAGCGCGGGGAAAAGGAAAATGGAGCAGAAAGTGTGCTTAACAAAATTATAGAAGAGAACTTCCCAAATCTAGGGACTGAGGGAGAAATGTGTGTGGAGGAAGATTTCAGATCTCGTAGATTTGTCAATATAAAAAGACCTACTGCAAGGCATATAGTAGTAAAAATGACAATAATGAATGACAAAGAAAGAATACTCAGGGCAGCAAGACAGAAGAAAATAACCTACAAAGGAACTCCTATCAAACTTTCACTGGATTTCTCTACAGAAACCTTACAAGCTAGGAGAGAATGGAATGACATATTCAAAACTTTAAAAGATAAAAATCTTCAGCCAAGAATACTCTATCCAGCAAAAATATCCTTCAGATGTGAGGGAGAAATTAAATATTTTCCAGACAAACAAAAGTTAAGAGAATTTGTAATCAAAAGTCCTCCACTACAAGAAATCCTCAAGAAGGCTCTCATACCTGAAAAAAGAAAAAAAGGGAGAAAGGGGTCACAAACCATAGAGTAGGGAGACAAATAGATAGAACCAGAGTAGGATAGCAAATATTCAACTATAGCATTAGGATAAAGGGAAGGAAACCACCAAAGAAAGATGATCTTATCACTCTAACCACAGACTCATAACACGAGTTGGAATAAGAGATGAAAATAATAATTTAGGAGGGGAAGAGGAAAGGGACTAAACCAGTCAAGGCCAAGGAAGTAACAGACCATCAGAAAATGAACTATATTATACACAAGATTCTAAATACAAACTTCAGGGTAGCCACTAAACTAAAAAACAGAACAGAGGCACAAAACATAAATAAGGAAAAATCTAAGAAACCCAGCATAAGAAATTGCAGAAGTCAATGAGTAGGCTAAAACACACAGGGCGAGAAACAAAGGTAACGCAGGAAAACCAGATAATGAGCAACAGAATGACAGAATTAAGCCCTCATGCATCAATAATCACCCTCAATGTAAATGTATTGAACTCTCCAATAAAAAGACACAGAGTGGCAAAATGGATTAAAGAACAAGATCCAACAATCTGTTGCCTCCAAGAAACACATCTCAGCCCCAAGGACAAACACAGGCTCAGAGTGAAGGGGTGGAAGACAATACTTCAAGCTAATAGCAAACAAAAGAAAGCAGGTGTCCCAATACTTACATCAGACAAAAGGGATTCCAAAATAAGGCAGGTAAAGAGAGACACAGAGGGACAATATATAATGATCAAAGGGACACTTCATCAAGAAGAAATAATGCTTATAAATATCTATGAACCCCACACAGGAGCACCAAAGTTCATAAAGCAACTATTAACAGACCTAAAGGAAGATGTTAAAAACAACACAATAATAGTAGGGGACCTCAACACCCCACTCACATCAATGGACAGATCATCCAGACAGAAAATCAACAAGGAAACAGTGGAGCTAAACAAAAAGCTAAAACAATTGAACTTCATAGCCATATATAGAACACTTCATCCAAAAACAGCAGAATACACATTCTTCTCAAGTGCACATGGAACATTCTCAAGGATAGACCATATGTTTGGAAACAAGGCAAGCCTCTACAAACTTTTAAAAAATTAAAATAATAACAAGCATCTTTTCCAATCATAATGCTATAAGGCTAGAAATTAATTATGAGAGAAAAGCTGAGAAAGGCACATGATGTGGAGACTAAACAATACGCTACTGAACAAGCAATGGATCATTGAAGAAATTAAAGAAGAAATCAAAAAATACCTGGAGACAAATGAAAATGATAACACACCATACCAACACATATGGGGTACAGCAAAAGCTGTATTAAGAGGAAAATTCATCACAATACAGGCACATCTTAACAAACAAGAAAAATCCCAAATAAGCAGTCTTAAACTACACCTAACTGAATTAGAGAAAGAAGAATAAACAAAGCCCAAAGTCAGCAGAAGGAGAGAAATAATAAAAATCACAGCAGAAATAAATGCTATTGAAATGAAAACAGCAGTAGAAAGGATCAATGAAACAAAGAGCTGGTTCTTTGAGAAGATAAATAAAATTGACAAACCCCTAGCCAGACTTACAAAGAAAAAAAAGGGATAAAGCTCAAATAAACATAATCAGAAATGAAAGAGGAGAAATAACAACAGACTCCGCAGAAGTACAACGGATTATAAGAGAATACTACGAAAAACTATATTCAAAAAAAGTGGATAACCTAGAGGAAATGGATAAATTCTTGGATTCCTACAATCTCCCAAAGCTCACTCAAGAAGAAGCAGACAATTTGAACAGACCAATCACAAGGAAAGAGATTGAAACAGCAATCAAAAACATCCCAAAGAATAAAACCCCAGGACCAGATGGCTTTCTTGGGGAATTCTACCAAACTTTCAGAGAGGATTTAATACCTATCTTTTTCAAGCTATTCCAAAAAATTAGGGGGGATGGAACACTTCCTAACACATTCTACGAGGCCAACATCACACTGATCCCAAAACCTGACAAGGACACCACGAAAAAGGAGAACTACAGGCCAATATCACTGATGAACATAGATGCAAAAATTCTAAACAAAATTTTGGCAACCAGAATTCAGCAATTCATCAAAAGGATCATATCATGATTAAGTGGGATTCATACCAGGGACATAGGGATGGATCAACATCCGCAAATCAATCAACATGATACACCACATCAACAAACTGAGGAATAAAAACCACATGATCATCTCAATAGATGCAGAGAAAGCATTTGACAAGATCCAACAGCCATTTATGATAAAAACTCTGAACAAAATGGGCATAGAAGGGAACTACCTCAACATAATAAAGGCCATATATGACAAACCCACAGCCAACATCATACTCAATGGGCAAAAACTGAGCTCCATCTCCCTGAAAACAGGAACGAGACAAGGATGCCCTCTATCACCACTCTTATTTAACATAGTACTGGAGGTCCTGGCCAGAACAATCAGGCAAGAAAAAGGAATAAAATGAATCCAAATAGGGAGGGAAGAAGTGAAACTCTTGCTGTTTGCAGACGACATGATGTTATATATAGAAAACCCCAAAGAATCCATTGGAAAACTTTTAGAAGTAATCAACAACTACAGCAAAGTTGCAGGGTATAAAATCAATTTGCATAAATCAGTAGCATTTCTATATTCTAATAATGAACTAACAGAAAAAGAACTCAAGAACACAATACCATTCACAATCACTACAAAAAGAATAAAATACCTTGGGGTGAATTTAACTAAGGAAGTGAAAGACCTATACAATGAAAATTACAAGGCCTTTCTGAAAGAAATGGATGATGACATAAAGAGATGGAAAGACATTCCATGTACATGGATTGGAAGAATAAACATAGTTAAAATGTCCATTCTACCTAAAGCAATCTACAGATTCAACGCTATCCCAATCAGAATCCCAATGACATTCTTTACAGAATTAGAACAAAGAATCCTAAAATTCATATGGGGCAACAAACGACCCCGAATTGCTAAAGCAATCCTGAGAAAAAAGGACAAAACTGGAGGCATCACAATCCCTGACTTCAAAACATACTACAAATCTACAGTAATCAAAACAGCATGGTACTGGTACAAAAACAGGTGCACAGATCAATGGAACAGAATTGAAAGCCCAGAAATAAAACCACACATCTACGGATAGCTTATCTTTGACAAAGGAGCTGAGGGTATACAATGGAGAAAAGAAAGTCTTTTCAACAAATGGTGCTGGGAAAACTGGAAAGCCACATGTAAAAGAACGAAAATTGACCATTTTTTCTCACAATTCACCAAAATAAACTCAAAATGGATCAAAGACCTAAAGGTGAGACCTGAAACCATAAGGCTTCTAGAAGAAAATGTAGGCAGTACACTCTTTGACATCAGTATTAAAAGGATCTTTTCAGACACCATGTCTTCTCAGAGAAGGGAAACAATAGAAAGAATAAACAAATGGGACTTCATCAGACTAAAGAGCTTCTTCAAGGCAAATGAAAACAGGATTCAAACAAAAAAACCACCCACTAACTGAGAAAAAATATTTGCAAGTCATACACCTGACAAAGGCTTAATAGCCATAATATATAAAGAACTCACACAACTCAACAACAAAAAAATCAAACAACCTGATCAAAAAATGGGCTGGAGACATGAACAGACATTTCTCCAAAGAAGATATACGGATGGCCAATAGGCACATGAAAAGATGTTCATCATCGCTGATCATCAGGGAAATGCAAATCAAAACTACACTGAGATATCACCTTACACCCGTTAGAATGACAAAAATATCTAAAACTAATAGTAACAAATGTTGGAGAGGTTGCGGAGAAAAAGGAACCCTCATACACTGCTGGTGGGAATGCAAACTGGTGCAGCCACTATGGAAAACAGTATGGAGATTCCTCAAAAAGTTAAAAATAGAACTACCATATGATCCAGCCATCCCACTACTGGGTATCTATCCAAAGAGCTTGAAGTCAGCAATTCCAAAAGTCCCATGCACCGCAATGTTCATTGCAGCATTATTTACAATAGCCAAGATGTGGAAGCAACCTAAGTGCCCATCAACAGATGATTGGATAAAGAAGATGTGGTGTATATATATATACAATGGAATACTACTCAGCCATAAAAAAGAACAAAATCGTCCCATTTGCAGCAACATGGCTGGACCTTGAGGGAATTATGTTAAGTGAAATAAGCCAGATAGAGAAGGACGATCTCTGTATGACTCCACTCATATGAGGAATTTGAAAATGTAGACAAAGAGAACAGATTAGTGGCTACCAGGGGAAAGGTGGGGTGGGGGGTGGGCACAAAGGGTGAAGGAGTGCACAACTGAAATTTCACAAGATTGTAACCTATCATTAACTCAATAAAAATTTTTTAAAAAATAATCAAGCCAAAGTGACACGTTTTGGGGTGGCCAGTTCTGACCCTCACACCTTTTATTCCCAGAGGGTAGAGGATTCGTCTTCCTCCCCTGCAGAGGAAAGAAAAAAATGTAGTACATGCAGAGAAAACCTGGTTGTTCTCATATGAGCACATTGTCTATATACCAATGGCTTCTTAATACCATAATTTTTATTTTTTCTCAAAATATATGTCTTTTCTCACAAGGTGGTGGCCTCTGTCTGTGTCCTGCTAGGGGGAAGGGAGGGGTCAAGGTCCGTTCTTCCCGAGTGCCTGCTTTGGCTTCCTGAAGGGATGAGGCCATGAAGGGAGGGTGACCACAGCATGACATACCCACCCTCACCCCCACTCCCCCATTGCACCTGAAGTTTCTATAATTCTGTCATTACAAAAACAAACGAAATCATTCAGGACCTGTCAAGATGAGCTAAATCTCTAAGACCCCACCCCAGGATCAGGCTCAGCTGGTTATCTCCTGCTTTCTCTCTACCGTGAACTTATGCAGCTGTAGGGAAGAGTTCGGCAGAGGTTGAAATTCCTCTCAGGCTCCAGGAAGTGTCAGAGACAAGTTCATCCATCACTGGCAGTTGGGGGGGGGGGGGGGGGGTGGGAGAGGGGTGGCGTCAGATGATGGCAAGCTCCCTGAAGGCATTCTCTTTCTCCTGCAAAACAAACTCAGCAAAAAATCCTCCAGACCCATAAGTCACCCCTCAAGTTAAACAGGGAAAACAGCAAATTGATTGTTAAATATCTACAGTAATCCTCAAGTTCCCAGTTTCAATTTTATATAATTATGAAATTGGGGGATTTAGGCTTCACTGTTATTATTTATGAAATGCTAACTATAAAGGTATTTGCCAATCTTCCTTCCTTCTTTACAAAAAAACTAGAAAATGTTAATAATTAGCTGTGAAAATGCCAATATTGGGGGGGTCCATTTGTGTAATTATTTTTATGTTAAAATCTCTATTTTGCACAGTGGAAAAGAGAATGAGTTCCTTGGGAAAAAATCAGACTTAAGGACAGACTAGGTTGAAGCATTTAGATTTGAGGGTCACCTGACCTTTCCAAGATGTTTCACATTGATTGGTAAAAAGCTCTAAAAGCATAGGAACAGAAACAAATTGAGAATTAGAAGCCGAATCATTGAAATGAAGAGTCATCTGACAAGTGTGTGGCGCTCCTACCTCTCTGGAGAGTGGGAAGGATTCCTGTGTGGAGAGCGCTGCTTGAGGCTATTCAGAGAGACCAGCACCAAGTTAGGGCATCCCTGGAAGTGAGGCCGGCCCCCTGCAGGGCTCCTCACGCACGTGCTTTAACGCTGAGAGGTGAGCAGCTTTCACAGGGAGACCCCGGAGAAGAGGCAGAGGGCTCCCCCGTGCCTGTTATCACTGCTGTGGTGTTTGACTGAGTTTTCCTTCAGATAATAAATATGATCAAGTTTGGTCACAGGTGTATCACATTCAAGCACCTGCTTACCTGCTGGTGAGTTCTTCCATATTGTGGGCCAAATGACATTTGGGGGACACGGATCCAGGAGTAGTGTTCGCAGAATGAACTCTTTTCTGAGTGACTCTGCAATGGTGAAAGTTCATCCGAAAGAGATGCTAGGAAAACAAATTTTCTATTAACTTCCTAGTAGGGAAAGCATCAAGCACTATACTGGGGACAAAAATATGTGTTTGTTTAAAAAGAATTTTCACAGAAGAGCAGTGACTGGAAGAAACGATGCATCTGGGCCTGGCTGTAATATTCTTCCCTCACAATTTTGCGGTGCGCTCCCTGGCCTTGTATGGCTGCTGCTGTCCTGGTCCCCAGGCCATGGGCCTCTTTGTCAGGCTCAGGGCAACCCAGGGAGCCCAGATGGACATATGAGATCACCTACAGCTGAGAGGTATTTATTTTATTAACAAGCTCTGTTTCATAGGACACAGTTCATACACTCTATAGTCATGTTTGTCAGTGCCTTTTACAATCTCAAGGTAGGAGTGGATAACCAAAGTTAGTATCATCCTATTTGAATAACAAAATATGTAATTTTTTTTTCCTGTAAAAGTGGTCTTAGATTTACAGCCAACTGAGTCTGATCAGAGGTCACAGGGGCCCAAGGGTGAAGCAATGACTGCTGGTCACTAATGTTTCACAATAAGGACCAAAGCCCATAAGCTTGGTAAGGTGCAGAGGGGGCTCCTCAAAGATTCTAGCCATCTCGCAGACTCACAGAATTTACCGTCATCTCGTCCAGCCTGAGGGAGCCCTGAAAGGAGAGTGAGCTGAGCATGGAGAGTTGGCAGTAATGCACTAACATCACCAATGCCCTGTAACGACACCCTCCTGCTGACAAACGACCCATCCAAAAATGACCCAAAAGTACCAGCGTTTTTTGAAAGCAGAGAGTTGAATACACTTATTCAGCTCTAATATAACTTGAAAACTGTCTCTAACGCAAAAAATAAACATTCTAATATTTTCACTCATCATCTTTGCTCTGAATCTTCCATTTTATGACTACCTTCTAGTGAGCTGGCCACACTAATTCAGCAATGCTGTGCCGTGCGTTGTAGAGCAATACCTCTCAAAGTGGATAATAAAGAATATGGTTTCAAAAAAAAGGATCTGTGGCCAAAGAAGTTGGAAGTTTGGGTTGAACAAAGCAAAAAGTTTGTGGTCATTCTGTCATTTGTGTGTATGTGGCTGTGTGTGTGTGTGTTTGTGTGTGTGTGTATCTGAGCAAATTCTCATAAACTTTACTATGCTGCAAGAAGGATATACAGTCCAAATACTTCCCAAATCTATTTAAGTTTCAAAATTTGTCTGCCTTTGGTTTTTCATGGAAAACTTCCAGGAACTTTGAAGTCACTGTATAAGAAAGGTTTGAAAGTCTCTAACGAAAACAACAAATATTAACTATATACACTAAACTGAATGAAGTTTAAGTCAAAATTAAATGGAAAGACTTTCCAGTGTTTTTTGATGACGAATTCGACCCAAGTAAATTTACACTTTAATGAGTATAAAATGCTTTTCTCCTTAGTAACAAGACGTAAATGATCGATCTGTATTTGGGGAAACTCAGAAAAAAATCCTTTCCCTGCCCTAGTACCAGCCACAAGTTTTTGGTGAAGGAGAAAGTATCTAGTATGTTCTTGGGAATAAATCATGATTAAAAATTATCTTTTCTTTATTATTTTTAGAGAAGTTTAAGATTCACAGAAAAATTGAGGAGACAGTATCTGTATACTCTCTCACACACACAGCCTTGCCCACCATCAACAGCCCCCACCAGACTGGTATGTTTGTTACAACTGATGAACCTACCACGACACATCGTCACCCAAAGTCTACAGTTCAAGTTTCAGTTCACTCTGGGTGTTGTACATTCTATGGGTTTGGACAAATGTATAATGACATGTATCCCTCATTATGGTATCGTACAGAGTACTTTCACTGCCCTAAAAATCCTGTGCCCCATCTATTTATCTCCCTCTCTCTGCCAACCCTAGCAACCAGTGATCTCTTTACTTTCTCCAAAGTTTTGCCTTTTCCAGAATGTCATATAGTTGGAATCATATAGTATGTAGCCTTTCAGATTGGCTTCTTTCACTTAGAACATTTAAGATTCTTGCATGTCTTTTCATGGCTTGATAGCTCATTTCTTCTTAGGAATAAATAATACTCCATTATCTGCATGTATCCACAGTTTATTTACCATTCACCTACTAAAGGATATCTTGTTTCCTTTCAATTTTTGGCAATTATGAATAAAGCTAATATAAACACCCATGTGCAGGTCTTGGTGTAGATGTAAGTTTTCAACTCCTTTGTGTTAATACTAAGGAGAGATTGCTGGATTGTAAGGTAAGAGCATGTTTAGTTTTGTAAGAAACTGCCAAATGGTTTGCCAAAGTCAATGTGCCATTTTGCATTTCCACCAGCAATGAATGAGAGTTCCTGTTGCTCCACCATCACCAGCATTTGATGTTGTCAGTGTTCTGGATTTGGGCCATTCTAATAAGTGTGTAGTGGTATCCCCTTGTTGTTTTAATCTGTAATCCTCTAACAACATACAATGGTGAGAATATTTTGTTATGCTTATTTGCCATTTATATACCTTCACTGGGCCAGTGTCTGTTCAGAGCAAAAATTTGCTCATTTTAAAATTCAGCTGCTTGTTTTCTTATTGTTGAGTTCCTTTTATATTTTAGTTAACAGTCCTTTATCAGATGTGTCTTTTGCAAATATTTTACAAGAGTCTGTGGCTTATCTTCTCATTCTCTTCACAATTTCTTTTGTAGAGCATAAGTTTTTAGTTTTAATAAACTCCAGCTTATCAGTTATTTCTTTTTTGGATTGTGCCTTTGGTGTTATACCTAAAAAGTCATTACAATGCCCTGGGTCATTTAAGTTTTCTCCTTTGTTATCTTCCAGAAGTTTTATAGTTTGCATTTTACATTTAAGTCTACGATCCATTTTGAGTTAATTTTTGTGATGGGATAAGATCTGTGGCCACATTCACTTTTTTTTTTGCATGTGTATCTCCAGTTGTTCCAGCACCATTCATTGAAAAGACAATCTATGTTCATTGTAGTTTTTGCTCCTTTGTCAAAGATCACTTGACTACATTTATCTGTGTCTATTTCTGAATTCTCTATTCTGTTCCATGGATCTATTTGTCTGTTCTTTTACCAACATCACACTGTCTAGATTACCATAGCTTTATAGTAAATCTTGAAGTAAGGTAATGTCAGTCCTCCGACTTTGTTCTCCTCCTTCAATACTGTGTCGACTATTCTGGGTCTTTTGTCCCTCCATCTAAACTTTAGAATCAGTTTGTTGATATGCACAAAATAACTTGGGATTTTGGTTGGAATTGGGTTGAATCTACAGATAAAGTTGGGAAGAACTGGTATTGACAATACTGAGTCTTCCTATCCATGAACATGGAATATTTCTCCACTTATTTAGTTCTTGTTTGATTTCATTCATCAGAGTTTTGTAGTTTTCCTCATATAGATCTTATACATACTTTGTAAGATTTATACCTATGTATATTTTTTTTTGGTGCTGACATAAATAGTATTGGGTTTTAATGTCAAATTCTACTTGTTCACTGCTGGTATACAGGGAAACAATTAACTTTGGTAATAAATTAAAATTTTAAAAGTACTGAAATTCCTTCAGAGAAATTCTCACTTTCTGTGAATTCAGTTAAACAGCTTAACTTGAAGAGAAGCTGTGTTCCTGTGTCACCAGTGACACGTCCCCATTGTCATCATCACTCCATCACCACAATGCTATTGGGCTGAATGCTTGAGAGAGAGAACCATGAAAAGTGGCTCCTGCCCTTATAATTTATAGTCCCAAAGTTTCAAAGTACTGATTTTTATTTATTGTCTACCTTGCATAAGTAATAAGGTCTGATGTGTTTCCAAAATATAGAAAGAATAGGAAAAAGACTTATTAAATGTAGTACTAGAATTGATAGTAAAACATTTATATTTTTCCTGAAAAGAATTCTCATTCTTTAAGGTTTCAAGGAAGAATCATTACAAGGAAGATAAAGGAGGAGAAGCTACAGAGTTAAAAGTCTAAAGTGAGAAAGTAGGGAGGAACACAGAAAAAAGTTTCCACTAACAGAATAAGCCTCCAATCTTTCTCTCTGCAGTGTTTTCTCTCTCTCACTAATACACACACATGAACACACCACAATCTGAGGAACTGCTGTGTGTCAGGCACCACGGCAAAACTGGGGATACAGCAGTGATTTAAAACAAACAATTTTCTAGTTCCTTGAAGCATATAGTCCAGGGTAAAAAGCAGACACAGAACAAATAACTCCACAGCCATAAAATTGCAACTACCACTAATGACCATAACCATGGGGTTATGCAAAGCTATTTCAGGTTCTTTTGTGCTGAAACATAAACTTGTTCTTTCTCAATCCTCAGAAAAGTGTGTTTGGGGGCCCGGCCCCATGGCCGAGTGGTTTAAGCTCCACACACTCCACCATGGCAGCCCAGATTCGCAGGTCTGGATCCCAGGTGCAGACCTACTCCGCTTACCAGCCATGCTGTGGCAGTGTCCCAAATACAAAAACAACAGAGGAAGATTGGCACAGATGTTAGTTCAGGGCTAATCTTCCTCAAACACAAAAGACAAAGATTGGTGACAGATGTTAGCTTAGGGCTAATCTTCCTCAGCAAAAAAAAAAAAAAAAAAAAAAGTGTTACAGATAAAAGCCTGGATTGATCCTAGTCTGTTGTGGAGATGGAGGAAATTTCTCAGTCCCCCAGGTCTGAAGTTGTACAGTTTGGAAGGTCAAGAACAAAAGTGAGGGGGCCAGCCTGGTGGGATGGTCGTTAAGTTCATGCGCTCCACTTTGGCAGCCCAGGGTTCACAGGTTCAGATCCTGGGCACCGACCTAGCACTGCTCATCAAGCCACACTGTAGTGGCATCTCACATAAAACAGAGGAAGTCTGGCACAGATATTAGCTCAGCAACAATCTTCCTCAAGAAAAAAGAGGAAGACTGGCAACAGATATTAGCTCAGGGCGAATCTTACTCACACACACACATAAAAGAACAAAGTGAGGGGGAGAGCCCATCCAGAACCTCGGCTTAGCATCTCTCTCTCTCTCTCTGGAAGCTTCAATAACCTCATATTCAATCACCCTGTGTCCACTCTTGTTCCCCTGGTCTGTTCATTGTACCACCAAAGTGCTGTCCTCAGTTGTATGCCTGACTGTGCTACTCCTACTTATATCATCCAGTGACAATCCATCTGATTATAATAAACCCAGAGTTCTTGCCTGTGCCTTGGAGTCCTGCATGGTCTGGCCCCAGGACTCTTGTGGCCTCACTCTCACCTTCCACCCTTCACTGCATGTAGCCATGCTGGGCTCTGTTCTCTAACTCAAACACCCTGGATACTCCCCTTGCCCTGAAACACCACACTTGGAATCTTCTTCCCACCCATGGCACATGCTTCCAATGCCCACCTCAGTGGGGTCTCCTGAGTACCCATCCAAAACAGCTTCCCATGTCTGTTGTCCTTACAAGCATGCATTCCTGCCTGACACAATATTACATACAGTATTTACGTGTCCACAGTGTGTCCTTCCTCGTGCAGCCCAGCTGCTCCAGTGTGACACCCAACAACCCACAGACCCTCCCTGTCTTCATTGCCTCTTCCCCACGTCTGGGTCCCTGGAGGTTGCTGCGACCATCTGTCGATTGCCTGTGTCCAGGAAACCTAGGGCAGAGCCCAGAGCTTCCAGGGGCGTTAGCCTCTGGACAGGGGAATGTCTGGCTCGCTGGTGACTGCCCATGTGCCACATGAAGCAGCTGGCGAGCCAGGCACCTGAGACATGGGTGGGATGTGGGATCACGGTCAGTGGGACAGGAATGGGGGGGTGGGGAGACCTGGGAAGATCCAGGGTCTGGCAGAAGCTAGCTCATCCCAGTTGGGTCAGCCTCTTCCCTGAAGCCTTAGACACATCCCTGAGAACACATGGTCTTGATGCCCCTTGGGCCAGGGTCCCAGAGGTCCAGGCAGGGTCATGCCCAGAATTCTTCCTGCATTCCCTGGCACTTGTTCCACCTGGGGTCAGAAAATGGGACAGCAGACCCACTGACAAAAATTCTCTCCTTGATTAAACTTTGGTCAGCCTTTCTTGAGCAACCTTTTTTACCAGGCCCAGCCTTGGGCTCCCATGGTCTTCCTTGTAGAGTCCAATTCTAGCACAAATCCTGCCAAGTCAGTATAGCCAGAATCCCCCATCCTCAATATCTGATCACCCTGGGTATCTGATCAGATTCCTCATCCTCCACCATGCCCCAGGTGATGTCTGATCACCCCAGCCTGCCTTCATTAAGAACCCTGTGAGGTCACTCTACCCAGAATCTCTCTTATCCCTGATGTCTCATCTTAGTAATTTTCCATTCATTGACCCCTACCATGCTCCTTGCCTATAAATCCCACTTTTCCTTACTGTACCCAAAGTAGAGGTGATCTCTATCCCCCAGTACAAAACCCTATTGTAGTAGCTCCCCTGAATAAAGTCAGCCTTATAAGTGTCATGAGTAACTTTTTCTTCAATACCTCAGGGTCCCAGCACAGGTTTTCTCCCCTTGTCACGTGGCCAGCTCATTCCTAAGGTCAATTCCATGCATGTGTGGCTCTGTTTCTGGCCACATTGTTCTTTCTACAGGCTCTAGGATCACTATCAGCCACACAGGCAATGTGAATGCAGGGCCAGCCCCAGGAGATGGGGCGCTCCTGCCACATTATTCTCACCTGGCACCACAGCCAAGACAGGCACCTGTTCAGAATCCTTCTATGGTTTTTTTTTCTATTTTGTCCTCTTTTAGAGTTTCAAGGTTCAGAAATTTTCATTGGTGTTTTTCCTAGTTCACCCTACAAAGTTCCCAGCTTCTCAAGGGGTTTTTGATATACTCTTGCAATCTACGCAGTGAATAGAGAATTTCTTCATCCTATTCATTATTATTTCACGTTGCACTTTGGTTTCCAATTATTGTTACCATTATAGAAATCTAAGGTCTTCAAAGATTCATCCTCAAGAACCGCTGTTAACACTTCTTTAGAGAAATGCCGATCTGTTCCAATCATTATTTTGT